CGGTGACTCGGAGCGCTCTTTAAACCTTTAAACGTGATAAGCATCTTACATCGTCGCATCTAATCTCCAACATCACAAAGAGCACCCCCAGTGGTAGCTGTCCCTGTGCGGCATAAGGTGAGTCAGCAATCCCAGTTGGGTAGTGTGCGGTGTAATTGTTCACATTTGAAAAATGGGACCGTGCAGTCGGCGCACAATGACCAACTCGATTAGAATGAGCGTTACCCACTCTGAGCACAGTGGACGGCGCACAGTATTTTACAGTTAACACCACACCACCACAGTAATAACTAGGGCGGCCTGCCGGATATGAACCTCGAAACCTTTGCCACGAGCGTCGAGCGCGCTCCCGCCGGGACATCGGGACGCCCCACCACCCCTGTGCCACCTCGTCATCGTCGTCATCATACCGCACCTCATGTGCGGCGCGTCGGTGCATGATCCACCAACCCTCACCCCCCCCCCCCCCCACCTTCCTCTTCCTCCCTGTCCAGACATGCGCCCCAAATAGTACAGGTGTGGGTACTTGTTGGGGTGATCCCTTAAAGCACCTTCAAACAATCGCCGATGCCACAGACGCAGCCGCGTCTTTAATCACCTGCGGCGGGGGGACCGCTGTGGGGGAGGGGGTGGCTGGAGTGGATATGAAATAACTTTAATAAGACGAGAGAAAAAAAATATACAAGAAACATTTGGCTTTGATCGTCGGACGAGGAGAGAAAGAAACCGGAGTTTCTCTGTCTTCACTGCTTCCCCCACCTCCTCCGCCACTCACGGCTTCCTCCACCGCCTCCTCCTCCTCCGACGCCGCTGCCGCCACTTTGGCAAAGAGGTTCTGATCCAAATTGTAACAAGCTGTTTCAGGGTGTGCGATGGGTGACTTGTTCGCTTGCCTGCTCGCTCACTATTAGCTCACCCCCCATAACCCACTCTCACCCACCCTCTCCAACAGGTCACTCACCTTCACCGACAGCTCACCCACCCACCCCAGATTACGCACTTACGTTTCTGACTCTTGAATTGGCTTGTCTGTTTCTAAACCTCTACTCGTGGATCGCTGGGAGCGAGTGTCAGTTTAAGAGCGTTCACCTGGGAGGCAGCGTCGTTAAGGTGCCTTGTTTGCCTGGCCCCACGGTGCATGTGTGCGTCTTTGTGCACACGGTGGCCCGGTTAAGCGTAAACCATGGCAATCTTCTCTCCCGGCATTTGCGACATTATTACAGCTGTCCCTTGCCCGACGGACCGCGTCTCTCCACGTAATCCCTTAATGTAATTTTTTTGCGCAAAAAATATCCCACGTGGCAGTTTTATGAAATGCGCAAGTGGTCTGCCTCTCCCGTGCAGAGACGCCCACAGAAAACAGACGCGGCACGGATTTGGCAACATGTCCATGAGCACTTTGCACGGGTTTACTCCATTTTTATTCGGTATTATTGTCACGTCGTCTCGAGGGTGGAGCGCTTAGTCCTGATCTCGCTTCTGCACCGGATAGAACTTGGAGTGAAGCAGCGGTCATGGTGATTCACGATCCAGCACTCACCAATTCACTCGAGTCACTCGCTCACCTTCCGCGGTCAGTCGCCCCCTTATCATTCTACTATCGTGGCTACTACTACTACCATGCTTACTGCTTCCTGTGAACGTTGCTCGTCCATTCCTCCACCCATGCTGAGGACTCGGTCTACCAGACACTGACTGTTTAACCTCATCCACTCTGTGTCCAACCACCACACTGCAGGTCACAATAACACACTAACCCCCCACTCACTCACTCAGTCATTCACTAACTTACTCTGACACTCACCCACCCACAGACCCTCTCACCCACCCGCCTGCTCACCCACACCCACCCACTCACCACACTGCAGGTCACCTCACTTCTCTTTGTGCTTCTTCCCTCGCACCGCTCCACTTTGCAGTTCCCTCCTCCCACCGTCTCCTTTCCTGAGCTCTCATAATAACCTCGTTCTGTTCAAGGAATGTGTTAACTCTGTTCGATTACAACTTTGACCATGCTGTTTGCTGCTGGCCGCTTGATGTGTTTGGCCTGTGCTCAGTAAATGCGTTTAAAATATAAAAAAACACTTCTCATGAATTGGTCGATAACACCTTAATAGACAGAGGATCACAGAGCTCAGGGAGATATGAATTTGGTACCGGCTCACCGCTTGGTCACCGACTTTCCCACTCGTCTGTGGTTCCTCTTCAAATGCTGTGCGGTGGCGTTTTATCAGTCGAGGTCATCATTTTATGATTATAATATAATAATTTACAAACACATTGGCACAGATCCCCTTTGCGCCCCAGGCCTCCCTCGCAAGAGTCTGCCGCCCGGGCTGGAGATAATTAAAAGGGATTGAGCCTAACTTTTTCCCCATCACGAATGCTGTCCCGCACACACAGCGCTGTATGCTACCAGGGCCCCACGGTGTATGTGCTGGTGAATAGTGCAGCCTATTCAGTCCATGTCTGTCGGGCAGGCGGTCTCGGAACGGCTGTTGAGCAATTTGCCAGAACAAGGGCGATTTGACGATTTGTGCCAAAGAGGAAAATCGCGCGGCTCAACACAGCCTGGCCGTTGCGCCTGTTTTACCCCAAACGCATTCCCCGTGCGCATGGGGTGGAGGCGGCGGCGGCGTTGGCGGCGAGGGAGAAATTAAAATTCTTGCCGGGGCCACCTGGCCGGCGCGGCGGCACGTGTGGGCTCTGTTCTGCAGCGCGCCGCCCGTAATTTGCCCACGGGCGAGGGGAGCGTTACCCGCAGCCCCGCACCGAGGCTCCGAGCGCCCGTGGGAGCGACGCGCCGAGCCACGAACCCGTCGACCTGAGTTCGACTTCCGCTTCGTGACCAGCGCAGTGGTGATTATCTGAACTGATCCTCGGCCTCCCCGAGGTTGATTCAGCCTCGAAACTGAGGGCACGGTAGAGTGTGTACACTTCGCCACTGGGGAGTCAACAGTGGCTGGCCGCTCTGTTGACCACGCCACCCCCTCGTGTCGCCGTGCCGGCTTGCCCGCTAAGAGGGTTACAGAAAGGACAGTAGTGTACACTGAGAATGATACCAGAAGCATTGTCTATCTTCCTACGCAACACCTTACTAACTTGTATAGTCGAAGGTGATAACGCAAGGGATGGTCTGTAACAGTGAAACTCTTTTACTAAAGACACTCTGTCGTCCACTCCGCGACGTGGCCCATGCGCTCTCAGAAACGTGGGAAACATAACCACACCCCCTATTAACGCGATTCGTACGAGTAAGATGCCTACAGGCATACACGTCTCGGTACACCGAGACCACCGACTCGCCACATCTGTGAACCCCGTTTTATCAGCTACAACCCAGGTAGATCCTCACCCATGGATATCAGCGGTGGCGGCTCAGTGTCTCTGAAACGACCATTATGAACCCCCCGATAGAGACAGACAGACGCGCCGACCCAGGGCTTGAACCCACGACCTTGGCGCTGCCGGCTCAGTTCTGGCTCAGTGCTGGCTCAGTGCTGGCTCGGCGTCTCTGACCCCTAAGCCACGGGGCCACCCTGACACGGCGTAGGCACGGAGCAGGGTGCTAAGCTGCGTCCGGGCGGTGGGCGGCGCTTGGGTTAGCGGTGAGCCGTGGGGATGAGAAAGGTTTATCGGACGCAGGGGGGACGGATGTCTGGAGGGGACCCCCACGACCCCCGTTCAACCCCCGAGGACCGTCAGGGCACCCACTCCCCTCCCCGCTAACCCCCCCACCCACCTACCCCGCCCCGGAGAGATTATCCTTAAACTTGCCGGGGTTCAGAGTTCACGTAAACAGTCGCACTTATTTATTTATGTCACCCACTTAGCACCACCCTGAGCTCAAGGGTTTAGAGAACACGCACGCATACACGGGTGTGCACCCACATTAACACTCGGAGGCACATGCACACATGGACAAATACTCACATTCATACACACAAATGACAGGCAGACACATGCAGGCTGACACATGCAGGCTGGTGGACATAATGGCAAATACACGATCGCATGCACACACATACACTGCACAAGCACACACATGCACAGGCACATCGCATTTTCATCATCATCACCACCACCATTGTAACCGCCGTCATGAGTTTCCATGCGAGTCTCTAATGGGGACCAGCCTGGGCCCGTCCACTCGGCACTCCAAGGAAGGACAACAGTTCAATTATGTTTCTTTCTAACCGCAGAAGTTTTACCAAAGTGATCAATATCGTCATCATCACCATCATCATGGGCGACATCCGATGAATAATCGCTGCCATACTCATCCCTCGCTGGGCTATTAACGCCAACCTCGACGAACGAGCAGAGGCCTAACCAGTGGAAGCTTGGCAGGCAGTGGCACCCACCCTCTCATCCCATCCTCAATGTGAACCCTTCCATAGGAATAACATCTTATAACTTCATCGTCATCAGCAGCCATGGTCAATCCACTGCTGGATGAAGGCCTCCCCACACCGCCGCCATCGCTCGCAATTATGCGATGCGACGACCCAGCTCGACGTCTGCACGTGAGCCCACGTCACCGGCATCGCTCCATGGACCGGAACGTCGTCAAAACGTTCTTTGTACTACTTTGTGGAGAAATCAAAAGTGGTTACCCTATGGATAGACTTGCCCCGGCCATAGGTTGGCTACGTATGGCGTGAAAGAAGTTAAACATCCATACATTTCCTCCTCTGGCTCTGAAGGGCTGTAAACAGGAGATGAGCACCAATGTCTCGATGCTCATTTGAGCAGCAGGAACTCACTCTGACTTTGTTTTAATCAACTTAACCAGAAGTGTTTCTCCCAGTAGACCCCTTCATTGAGACGATCACCTCATTCTCACGAAGGAGCGTCTGTCAACATCGCATGATTGGCCGATTGAGAGATGCACTCATCAATTAACAACTCGGCAGAGCGCAGACGACGATTAACATCATGACGCAACGCCGTCTCATGCCCTGTCCTCCCACCCCGTGCCCTCTGCCCCCCCCCCCCAGTCGACCTGGAACACATGCGCACGGTGAAGGCTGACAAACACTCGCGCTTCTGCCAGGAGAACGGCCTGAGCAGTCACTTCGTGTCGGCCAAAACCGGGGACTCGGTGAGTCTCGCTCGCTCGCTCGTGTGTGTGTGTGTACGTGCGTGTGTGCGTATACGCGCATGTGTGTGTGTGCATTTCGTGGGAGGTGGCTCGTGAAGGATGCTGCTGGGCAGCTGGAGACAGTCGCCCTCCAACAACAATGGAGAGCGGAGGAGCGACGCTCACAACAACGAGCGGCATGACGGGCGGATAAAATAGAGTGAGGTAGCACAGTGGTGAGCACAGGTGGTGCATCTGCCAGACATCTCAGTCAGCCCACGACACCTGGGTCTGTCCTATGAGCTCCTGTCCGTGAGCCTTCCACACTTCACGTGGCTTCAAGGTGCACCCAGCCTGGCACAAGCGCAGCAGTAATGTCGTCACCGCTTAATGGTGAACGGCAGTGGCTGTTGTGTTCCGTGGGGCAGTGAGGCGGCTTTGGTGGTGTGAAGCGGTTGCCTGGTGTGGTTAAGATGCTGTGATTGTGGTGGCATGGTTGTGGTGGTCTGGTTGTGGCGGTGCTGTTGTGGTGGTGCGAGTGTAAGTGGTTGTGGTATTTTGGTTGTGCCAGTGCAGTTGATGCATCGTGGTCGATGTGGTTGTGGTTGCAGGTGGCCGTGTGTTTCCAGAGAGTAGCGGCCGACACTCTCGGCATCAAACTCAACAAAGCGGAGATGGAACAATCTCAGGTGACCCCGTACGACCCTGTGTGACCCCGACCATTTGACTTAGCCCGACCTTCAGACCACCTTGTGAACTCACGCGACCTTAATCGAGCCGGTCACCGATCGCTCCGCGCTCGTTACTGTGTGCGTGGCGACCAATCATTGCTAGCGATTGTAAAAATCGCACTCATTATTTTTCAAGTTATGCAAATTACGTTACAATTATATGCGACATTGCGTTTGAATGAAACTGTACGAATTAGACAGCAAATGAGAAACAATGCAAGTAAAATAAAATCCTGGATTGAATCATGACCTTCAATCGCGATGGTTCATCGCACCACTGAGAGAAGAGGAAGGGAAGTCACATGATCATCATAGTCGGAACTGCCACACTCGCTTACGCACTCACGCACTCACCCGCTCACGCACTCACACACTCACCATTACCCACTCACGCACTCACCCGCTCAAGCACTCACCCGCTCATGCACTAGCTCATGCACTCACCCGCTCACTCACTCACACACTCACCCACTCACGCACTCACCCGCTCACTCACCCACTCACACACTCACCCAATCACTCACCCACTCATGCACTTACCGGCTCACGCACTCAACTCCTCACTCACACACTCGCTCGTTTACTTAAGCGCCCAATCATTCACGCACTCCCCACTCACTCACGCACTTACCCACTCACTCGCTCACCCACTCGCAAACCCTTTTACCCACTCACGCATTAAACGGCCCGCTTTGCGAGCCGTTTTGTTCGCCCACTGTGATGCTCGTCGGTTTTGTTCTTGAGATTAAATTTCTCAACTCATTCCTGGCCGCCCCTCCCCATCTGTCTCTGCTGCCCTCTTTCATTTCAACCTCCTCTCTCTCCTCGTTCCATTGCAACCCTGCCACCCTTCATCTCTGCTGCGCTCTGCTCTCTGCCACACACGCTTGCTGCTCGTGACGACGCGCTTCCCTCCTCGCTGCGTGGATCCTGCACCCATTCCCCATTCCACCGCTCGAGCCGCAACGGGTCGACCTAAACTGCACTCCACCTTTCACCAAACTTCTCCACCTGCTCCTCTCATTCACACGCAGCCGCCTGCTGCTCACCTCGCCAACATAACCGCTATTCCGCGTCTGTCGATCTCACCCGCGCCATAACATGTCCCTCACTATAACTCTCACTCTCTTCCTTACCGTGACCCCAACCCAAACGCATGGCGCCTGGCTTGAAAACTGCCACTCCCATCCCGACCACACCTCACCCGCTCGTCACCATCAACCACATTAACCACCCGGCCCCACGCCCCCCACATCCCATCGTCCTCCCCGGCCCCTACCCGGCCCCCCCCGGCCCCCCCCCGGCCCCCCAGGGTGTACTGAAAGCCGAATTGGTCGACTACCGGGAGGCGTCGGGGCTGCGCGAGTACCGCGCGGCGGCGGCGGCGGCGCGCTGCGACAAGAGCTCCGTGTGCAGTGTGCAGTGACAAACGAACTAACTCGCTCGCTCACTCGCTCACGTATGGGGCCACACACCCACACGCGCACACTACAACTGCTGCTATTGCAGCAACGATGATGTGTGTCTGTATGTATGTATGTTGAACTTCATTCGCACCGTACGTAGCCAACCATGCTAATCGCATGATGGTGGTGGTAGTGACGATGACAGTGATGGTGGTCGTGACGATGATTGTGATGATAATGATAATGTCCGTGATTATTATGAAGATGAGGCGACAATGACATTGATGATGATGGGGGTGACGATTGTGATAATGATTATGACAACAATGATGAAGACTGGTGATTAAGATGATGTCATGATAATGATTTTATGGCAATGATCATGACGATGTTCATAATTGTGACAATAATGACAATTATGACGGTGAAGAATTCTTAACACTGTTTTTCTGTTTGTTCACAGCGAGTGGTGAAAGCCGACATCATCAAAAGCACTCAGGACTCCCCCGTGCGGGCCGTGAGCCAGCCCAAGAGCTCCGTGTGCGCCATCCACTAGACTCTACCACTACGCCAAACGGGGGGGGGGGGTGCATCGGTAGGATTGGTGGGAGTAGAGTTGAGTTACGACCAGCTTCATCCCATGACGAATAAAACCCATACAGTGTAATCGGCATTGGCCAATGCTGAAGAACTACCGGCAAATTACTCAATTGGGATGACACACAGTAGCAACATCGCCCCCCTACTTTCGAAATTTGGCAGGGCCTTCCTGAGCAAGAGTTGTCTCAATGAGTCTCCCTCATGCTGGCTGGCCATGTGGCTGGGGTGACTGAGATTGCTAGAGCCAGTTAATTGAGTTGATTTCCTACGGGCGCTATCGTTCTCATGGCACGCACCGATCATAGCACAGGAAGGCGCCGCTGTGTTTCACGCGAGGAACAGCTTGTGCTGGTTCCACAGCAGGGGGGTGATGCTGCTGCTGTGTTATCCCGATTGAGTAATTTGTAAATGTAGTCCATGGCGCAGGCAAACAATAGCCCACTCTTACCAACGACGTCACGGGATCTGTAAATGTCATCTGTGAAGCAGACGGCATGTAGTATTGTATGGTTAAAGCGCACCACCACCGCAGTAATAGCTGGGGCAGCCTGCCGGATTCGCACCGCGATTCCCGTAGTAATGCTCGCGTTGTAGGGATGTGATCAGGGTTCTTGATTCTGTCCCGTGAGCTGAGCCTGAGCCGCGACTAAGACACGGCCATAGCACCGCCCCTTCCCCCCACCAATCTCCGCGGGTGAAGAGAGAGAGATTCAGTCGTAGCCGCAGCGTATTCTCCGGATGGTAACACATCTCACATTCGCCCCTCGTCCTTCAAAAGTTGGAGGTCCATCTTATACCCCAGTAGGTGGGCCGTGCGTGCACATCAGCATCGGGGAGACAAAGGCGGCTGGGCGTAGTGCAGACCACACCCCGCACCCTCATGTGCTGTGCCAGCCTTCGTAGGCGCTCGATAAAGGCACTTGCCCCAACAGTCTGTTAAAACCAAACGGAGGATCTTTGTCTTTGTAACCAGCTCTGTGTAACTTTATTGACACCGGGCACAAATTTGGTGGGGGTCTCAGCCGGCAGCGCAGCACCCCCCAGCCGGCGCCTTCAAGGTGGTGGCACCGTGACCATTCGGGATTCTGATCGCCCGTGGTTATGAATATGATTTTTCCACATTGATAGTGTTCTAGTAATGCTCGCGTTGTAGGGATGTGATCAGGGTTCTTGATTCTGTCACCACGCCGAGTTGGGTGTCGGGTTTCTGGTCGTGAGATTTACCGTGCGAGGCAGCTGAACGCTCGGCACCAGCAGTGAACGTATATAAAATAAACTACACAACCTGGCCGAGAGATTTCTATATTACATAACGCAAAATCACGGTCTATCCACTGCTGGATGAAGGCCTCCCCACGGTGCTCTCACCCACCTCGTCATGCCACCGAGCGCTCACTCTGCCTGGCTGGGCCAGGCACCCAGATCCCCTCCCTCCCGGCGTGTCGCCGCAGTCCATGGGCTAGGACCAAAAATTAGAAGCTCCGGGGTCATAATTCCACATTCCAATGGGAAGGACCAGTATAATCCACGGGACCGTCACCGCTGGAGCGCTGGCAAGGCAGTACGAGGTTTACAGACCCTGAGCGAGTATGATGGGCTGAGTGGGGCGTTGGCAGGGAGGACGCAGCTTGGCAGCGCACGAGGGACCCCGTCGCTTCCGAGGTCGCCTGCAACTGCTTGCAATAACGTCGACACACGGGCAATTCGGTTTCCTGCACCCGAGTTGCGGGTGACTGTACTCTTAAACAACCGGTTGTGCAACTGGTCGCATAGACGTCAACGTATAGTGCGCACGATTCGGTTGCGTGCAACCGAATTGCATATCGGACCCCTCTGGTTCGACACCGTGGTACCACGATCGTCGCGCCCCGAGTGGCTGTAGGGTTCGCTTAGCGCCCCTCGTGGCACGCAGTGTGCGGGTGCCAGGAGAGAGCAGTCGATGGGAACTCGCGCGGTTCCACGGGGGAGTTGTGGGTGGGCGTGAGAATCTCCACGGAACGGCGATGAATCGGATCGCTTACTGGGCAGAGTCGCGTGTACACGCGCGTGTCTGTGTGTGTACACACGTGTGTCTGCGTACTCGAGTTTATGTCAACAGCTAACACACATGTGTATATATCTTATAGTTTCGCATTCAAATAATAAAAGACAATGGACTTGTTTTATTCATGAAACGAAATGCCCAAGGGATTTAATGTCCACTCGCACAATTACACAGATACACAATTACACAGATATATAATTACATAAACAATTACACACCCATATTAGAGGTTTTTTTGTGTTAGATCGCGTAAGTATATAAATGTGTCGTTAAAACCCGCCACCACCCGACACAGCCAACTAGTAAAGGCTGGCACGTAAACAGAACATGCCAATTCGTCACTAGTACAGCGGGTTTTAACGACACATGTTTACGCGATCTAACCCAAGAAAACCCCTCTTATGGATATTGGTCGCGAAAGCCGACGTGTTAAACTGAATTACACATACGTACACAATTACATGTACACAATTGCACACATACACATTTACACACACATACAACATTACAACTACAACCACGTGCACACACGAATATATTAACGTACAAATGCACACACATTTACGCATACATCGTACACATTCATACAGCATGCGTTCATACACAGGCGAACACATTTACACTCAGTTTAACACGTAGGTTTTCGCGACCAACATCATCCATAATACAGGTTTTTTTGGGGGGGGTTTGGGCGATCTAACCCAAAAATCACTGTATTATGGACATTTCCACTCGCAGACAAATATACAATACAAGAGTATAGAGGATAAGTGTTGTTGATTCTCGTGATGCTGCGGGGTCGTGGGTCGATGTGGCGGGGGGGTGGGGGGTTACTGCCTCGCTGGAGTCTCAATCTCCACGCGGACTTGAAAGGCGCTTACACAGCGGATGGTGATGATGGTGATGCGGATGAATGGAGTGGACGGACGTTAAAAGCCTCGCGGTGACGATGGGATTCGCACTCGGCTGGAGATATATACACACAGACAAAGATCCCCCATGTAGCCGACACAGGCTATTGGGGCAAGTGCTGTTAGGGAATAGCACCTGAATTTGCCAGAACGACGGCCGGGCCGCCTTTAACTCCCGAGTGCTGAAGTATTACACACCGCACCAGGTCGACCTAGGGGAGGCCCAGGACCGGTCACTAATATTGGCCGTGAGCGGGAATCTAACTTGAGTTGCCGGGTTGGTAGCGTAGTTCTCATTAACCACTGCACGACCGTTCCCCACACTCTCACACACGCATGCACCTATACACACACCCTCTTTGTCACACCTGTCCCCTCCCAGGTAAATCCACTCGGGCTAATGAGGCGAGGGGTTTATCCAGAATGGCGCTGAGACCGTATTTGTCTGTGTTTCTGTATTTGCGTGTGAGCAGTAGTGTAGCGAGGAGCTCGCTGGATGCCCACGGCCAACACCAGTGACGATTATCGGTCCTGGGCCTCCCCTAGGTCGATTAAGTCTCAAATGAGTACCTGGTGCGGTGTGTAAACATCACCACGCGGGAGACAAAGGCGACCAGGCGTGGTACTAGCCACCCACCCCCTCGTGTGCCGTGCCGGCCATCATAGGTGCTCGCTAACAGCACATGTCCCAACAGGCTGTTAAGGCTACACGGGGGATCTTTGTCTTGCGGTGTTTGCTTTGACGAATTCAGAGCCAGGTTCTTTACTTAAGCGGCGGATAATCGGAGAGCCGTGATCACCCCACGTGACCGCAGCGATCAACCCTCATCTTCGCCCTGCCGCCACCACAGCTGTCTCTCCACTCGCAACAATGCGCGTACACAACGAGCCACGCGGCCTCCTGGGAGTGCATCTTCATCCGCAGTGTGCGTCCAATTGTCTCATCAAAAGTCAGGCTCGCTGGAACCCATGCTGGGGAAACACCAGATGTTTGTTTAATTTTCAATTATAAATGTGGGTTTACCATCCAACATACCAGTGTGCCGAATTATTAACGAATTGGTATGTTTTGTTTATGTGACAAACCTTACGAATTGGCCGTGTCAAGTGGTGGCGGGTTATAACGAGACATTCATATTTACGCTATCTAACCCAAAAACCTATGTATCCCAGATATTATTTGGGCCTTTCGGTAAAGCCACGTAGATTTGTATTTTTGTTTTCTTATGTTTCTATCTACGTGGCTTTACCGAAAGACCCAAAGAATATGAATTCCTGCAGTCACGAAAGCTTTAAGTCAAGATTTGTATCCCAGGTGTTTATTGGCAAGATGGTGAGCATACCGTGTTGTATAATCCTGCGACGACGGCGTTCACACGCAGCCTTAATGACATCACCTTGACCGGACTCCGGGACGATGGCCGAGCACAGCCACGGAGCGGCAGCCAAGGGACGGAACGCGTCCAGGAGGCAGAACCCTTCATGGGGAGGGGGGTGTGGGGCCCCCCAGCGCCTGATATCAAACACCGTGACGCCAAAGCGCGCCCCCCCCTGCCTCGAAGGAGCGGGGCCCAGGGCGTCCGTACCGATTCGCCATACCCCGGGGTCAGCGCATCGTAGCGTCGCAAGATCGGGAGAGGTGGCGGCGGTTTTGGGGGGCGGAGGCCGGCCTTCATCTGGCTGCGGTTTGACCATGACTGCTGGATGATAAATATTATCACCACAATGGGAATAATCATAATGGTTTTATTTTCCCGGGAAAGCCTCACCGAGTCTGGAGACTCTTTATCGTGAGGGTCCTGCCACTTTGGGATGCTGGGCTCCATGGGAATCGGTCACGAACCAACCCGGCGAGGCGCGCGGTGAATCGAGCTGCGTTCATCCCTCAAGCCCCCACCCCCTGGGAAGTGGGGGAGGGGCTGCTCCCAAAATTGGGCCCCAATCTTCAGACTTCGCGGCTGAGCGTGGCGCGAGGCTTCATCCATCGGGATACCTTCAGACTCAACATCACTACCATCACCAACATCACTACCATCACCAACATCACTACCAACACGATCAACACATCAGCATAATCAATATCGCCGTCATCACCGTCATCAGCACCACCAGCCACATCACCACCATTTGCCCGGACTGTTTGTTAAAGGCGACACGGGGGGTGGGGATCGTTGTGTTTGTTCGAGCGCGAGTGAGTGAGTGATGCGAGTGTTTAGGCTGAAGGCGTCAGCGCGAGACGAGAGCGAGTGACGAGGCCTGCATCAACAACAGCAGCAGCATCAGCACGTGGCGATCAGCCAAATACACAGACACGTCCACACACTCACGTATAGACACACACACAGACGTGAACACAAGTACACCACCGCAGCCGCCAAGTGGTGGTGACGTCACCACGGCGGTTGTGCCATGCTAGGTGCACTCCGAGGCCACGCGAAGCGTCGAAGGCTCCCTGGCAGTTCACGGGACAGACCCAGGTGCCATTGGTTGAATGAGATGGCTGGCAGATGCACCACCTGTGTCCCTGTCTGTGCCAACTTGCTGCATTCAGCCGCCCGCTCGATCCGCTGCTGGACGAAGTCGCCGCCACCCCCCACCGAGACTTCATCGCAGACCAAGGCCGCGTGCTTGTCCAGCGGCCACCGCGCCCTCGGCGAGCCACGCTCCTGAGCATCATCGCGACGCAACACGGCACACGCGCCCGACACTGCTGACGAGTCCCAGTGACATCGAACGCTCACGAGCCCACGGTGAACACCAATTCCACGCCTTGCTGGTGACAGCCGAGCAATGCGGAACTCGCCCTGCGGACTTCACGAACTCAAAGTGCTCCGCCGGGCGACGCCGCAAGACGAACCGCGGATCCTTCCTCCCTCCCTCTCTCCGATGAGCGCGCAGCCATTCACACGATCACCCTCCGAGTCTTAATCCATTTATTGGGCCGAGCCACGTCTCTGCCACAGGTCCCTCCCCAACCTGGCACGGCCACACGAACCGAACTACCGCTCGCAAGGACGCTCAGCGCGGGGATCCCCGAACTATTCTCACGACCAGCCTCTCCCTCTAAAATCCATTACCACTTCGTCAATACAATGAGCAACGTAGTAACATCGCTCTGCCAAAACGAAGGTGTGGAGTCCTTTGTAAGTTGTCTCAGGACCCCTGATAAGGAGGGTCACGTCTGCTTGTGGATATTTGGTTTCGAAAAAAAAAATTCAAGTCGCGGGCGGCGGTCGGAGAGTGGGGAGGGGGCGCTACAGCTCGGGACAGCGGCCACAGCTCGGGACAGCGGCCACAGCTCGGGACAGCGGTCACAGCTCGGGACAGCGGCCACAGCTCAGGACAGCGGTCACACCGAGCCGAGCGGTGGCCACGGCAACATCTGTGGCACCCCGCGTCTCTCCAGACGCAATCACCAGACAAGGCCACCATGAAGGCTCACACCAATACAAAGATCCACCCTGTAGCCTTAACAGGCTGTTGGGGCAAGTGCTGTTAGCGAGCAGTGCCTATGAAGGATGGCACGGTGGACTCGGGGGTGGGTGGCCAACACCACGCCCGGCTGCCTTTGTCTCTCCAGTGCTGATGTTGACACACCGCACCAAATACTACTAATTTATGGCCGAGTCTACCTGGGGAGGCCCAGAACCAGTTCAGATAATTGTCACTGGTGTTGGACGTGAGCAGGATTCGAACTCGGGTTGTTGGGTTCGTAGCACAGCGCGCTAACCGCCAGACTACCACTCCCTACACAAAGGACGTACACAGAGACGCACACAGATACACATACACTGGCACACACAGGGGCTAAGGTGTCAAATCTTACATATTCAAACAAAATGCTCCAAAAACATCGACTTAAAACGCTGAGTGCGTCGTTAAAACGCCCTCGCGGTTGTGCGCGTTACAGCTCAGTTCAGCAATCTGAGTGCCCCCCTCCCTCCCTCCCTCCACATTTGTGGTTCTGCGTCCCCGACCCCAGCAGGGTTAGAAGTCATGGCCAGGGTTAGGGGCCAGGGTTAGGGGTCAGAGTTAAAGTCATGATACGGGTCGAGCCATGGTTAAAGCATGGGTCAGCATCAGTCAGGGGTTAGGGCGTGGAGTCAGGGTCAGGTTTGACTCATGGCTGTAATCAGAGTTCATGTGTCGGCTACAGTTGGCGTGAGCATTCGGGTTACTCTAGGAGTTGGGCGAGAGTTAGGGGTGAGGGTTAAGTTTTGATGAGGGTTGGGGTTAGGGTCAGGCCTGCTCCTGTCTGAGCAGGATTTAGGATAACATTTCAGGTTAGGCTCAGTTTGTGCGTTGTTGTGTACATTGTGGTTGTTGTGTTTACTGTGTACGTTGTGTACATTGTTGTGGTTGTGTTTGTTGTGTACATTGTTGTGGTTTTTGTGTTTGAGTATATTTTGCTTGTTGTGTATGTTGCTGTGTACTTTTTGTACGTTGTGTAAGTCTTGTACGTTATGTGTTATGTAAGTTGTTGTGTACGTTGTGTTCACCATGTGCGCACATTAAATGAGTTTAGGAAATCACCCCAAACAATAACGACATCATCCTTGAGTACAGCTCCATGACTATCATCACTACAGGGTTATAGTAGTGGTAGTTACGTAGTAGTAGTACATGTGTTTCATTGTGAATAAACATACGAGTTATAATTGATGTTGGGTTAGGCCACCACTTAATTATCTGGTCACATTTGTGTCGTAAGACGCTCCACCACCCGACAGCCAAACAAATGGGAGTGTCGCGTGCCCGAGCGCTGTCACGGCGTGCCGGTCACCGGCTCGCACGCCAGCGACGTGAGCGCTCGCGCACCAAGCAACTTTGCTAATCAGTGTCAGGCGATCAAGGGTCTCACCACACAAATCTGGCCAAATCGTTGCGTGGCCTCAGCCAAAACTCAATTACGATTCGTAACATTGGCTAAGATATTTGAGCTTTTTCAACTTACGCAAAACAAATAATAAAATGCAGTCTTAAAGTTGTAAGTTTTGGAGGCACGATCCGAAAGCAGCCAGCTCTTGCAGCGACGCACCCAGGAGGCGCCCCACGGCAGCCCCACGAGCACAGCCACAGGGCCCCTCCGTCTCAATCCACTGCCGGGCTAAGGCCTCCCGACGCCGTGAGCGTACTTCACCAGGTTGGTCGGCGTGGGTTGGTGAAGGAGCGGGAGGGAGGTTCATATAAACCAGTCGCCACTGTCGTGAGCAGTGGGCTGGGAATCGAACTCTGGTCCACGGGCTCGTAGTGCTACATGTTAACCGCTGTACCACCGCTCCACCACCCCCAGCTGTTACAAACGAAGACGGAACAGACAATAGCAAGGAGACGGTGACAAACATCGCACACCCGTCACAACCACCAGAACCACCGCTACCACAGCCACAACCGCCCGCAAAGTCACCCAGACCGGGCCACGCGCGACGCGGTGATCGCAGCCTCTGGCACCGACCGCAGGCGGCACGGAGAACCGGTCTGGCCCGGCGACTCTTCGTCGCCTGCGCCGCTCAGTGCTCGCTGAGGGAGTGCTTGAAGAACTCGTAGACTGACCACGCGATGGCGGTGGACGGCATCTGGTAGAGCACGCGCGCCTGCATGCCACGGAAGAACGCAGGCAGCCCCCCGTGCCGGTACACCGTGCGAAACGCCATGGCCAGCCCGGTGAGGTAGCGCGGCGGGCGGCAGTGCTGCTGCTGCTGCTGCTGCCGCGCCGCGCTCCCGGCGCGCAACGTCGCACCCCCCGCGGATCCGGTACCGGGAGCTCTCGCCGGCTGTGGCGCCGGGCGCTCTCCAGAGCGGTAGGCGCGGAGCGGCGCTGCTTGCGTCGCCTGCTGCTGCAGGTGTCCAGCGCCTACGCCCAGCAGGGCGCTCAGCCCGGCGCCTCCCGGCGGAGCCGCCGGGACGGCCGGCGCCGGACCTCCGGCCGGGGCGGCGGCCGCGGCGGCCGCGGCGGCCGTAGTCCTCGCCGCCAGCGTCGCGAGTGGCTGGCGGCTCGGCCCGGCGGCCGCCGACTGCTGCAGCTGCCACTTCCCGGCCGCGGCCGCCGCGCCATACGCGGCGGCGCGGCAGCCCTCGGCGGCGCTGGCGGCCGACGAGAGGCCGGCGCAGGCCCCGGCTCCGGCCACGCCCATCTCCACGAGCGCCATCTCCTGCGTGTTGAGCAGCGTCTTGCAGACGTCGAGCGGCGTGGTGAGCGCCGCGGCCAGGCCGCCCGCCACGGCCCCCGACGCGACGTGCGAGCCGGGGCTGTAGTCGCGCCGTGGGTTCAGGCGCTCCTGGCATGCCTCGTAGGCCACGAAGTGCAGGCTCTGGAAGGGGAGGTTGAGCGCCAGCTGCGTGGGGTAGCTGCGGTAGAAGGCCGCCAGGCCCTCGGAGCGCAGTACGCGGCGCGCGCACTCCAGGGCGCCGCCGTAGGGGGAGTTGTACATCTGCAGGCGCTGCTTCACCACTGGGGGGCCGCGGGGGGGGGGGCACAGGCACGGGGGGTTGGCACGCAGCGTTATGGGAGCCGAGGTGGTTTACGTAGTCGCATTTTGAAACTACATCCACCCCAGGCTTGATAATAAATACAATAAATGGAATTGAATTCACGAGTCGACATTTCATTGAGTGCAGAGGGCACGGAGAGGAGTCAAGCCAGGCCTGCCAGGCAGCGGAGGCAGCCACCGTGACACATTCTCCCACAAAGACAAAGATCCAGTGTGTAGCCTTAACAGACTGTTGGGGCAAGTGCTGTTAGCGAGCAACCTATGAAGGCCGGCACGGCACATGAGGGGATGGGTGGCCAGTATTATTCCCGGCCGCCTTTGTCTCTCAAGTGGCGATGTTTACACACCGCACCAGGATCGGTTTCGATAATCATCAGCGATATTGGCCATAAGCGGGAATCAAACTCGGGTCGTTAGGTTCATAGCGCGGTGCACTAACCACTGCGCCACCAATCTCGACTGACACATTCTCCCACAGACACACACGGAGATGTGGACACACAGATAGGCACGCACGCGTACACACTCACAAAGACACACAAACAGTTGCTTTAATATATTATCTCTCTGACATGGGAACACAATGACACGCTTCCACACTCACACACGAAGACCACCCGAAAAGCCTCAACAGACATTGGGGCAGGTGCTGTTAGCAAGCGCGAGGGGGTGGCCTGCACCAAACCAGCCGCCTTTGTCTCCCCAGTGTGGATGTTTAAACACTGCACCAGGTACTCATTTGAGGCCGAGTCGACCTATGACACAATGACACGCACACTCGCGCACCTCTGCACAATAACGTGCGGCGTGGCCACGACACAAAGGGGGTGAGGAGGAGGAGGTGGGGACGGCAGCAGCAGCCACCCCACACAAAGCCGGCACACAATGGGCAATGCCGGCACAGCCCCCGCCACTCCACGTGACCCCTGTGCCCTCTCCCACACCTCGGCACGGGCACCTGGTCCCCTCCCCCCCTCCGCTAACGCTAACGAGCTGGGCAAGCGAGAGAGAGAGAACGAGCGAGCGGGTACACTGTGAGGCATCGTCCGAGCGTTTCAAAACACTCGCTCACGGAGCATTCACCATCACCGCTCCGAGACGAGGAGGGGGCCACGGGGGGGGGGGGTGATCGGGGTGGGGGCGGGACGGGGGGCAGATGTGTGCGGCTGTGGGCGAGTTAAACAGACGGGAGAGAGAGGGAGAGAGAGGGTGGGGGAGAGAGGGAGAGGATGGGAATTTGTGGGATGGTGGGAGAGGAGGAGGTGGGCGATGGGGGGGGCGACAAAGATGATTGTTTTTGTGACGCGCGATGAAACCTGGAGAGAGGAGCGAAGAGGAGGAGGAAGTGAGAAGCAAAACAACGGACGAGAGACGCATACGCCGACGCACGCACACGCACATAGTTGTGATTGTGCCCACAGACGTGTGTACGTACAGACACATGAAGAACAGCCCCGAGCCCTGGCCTCCTGATGGTATGATAGGCCTTGACCAGGTCAATAAAGCAGAGATGTAGGTGTCGCAGACAGACAGAGAATATGGCGTTCGTCTCATTCTAAAACCACATTGGGCGCTCTGCAAGCCTCCACTCAGCGTGCCTGGCAAGGAGATGTTGAATAATCCTTACCAGGACCTTTCCCGGCCTTAGACTGAGGAGTAGTTGTTGCAATCAGAGACGACCCCCTTCTTAAAAATGTGGACCGCAATGGCATCCTTTCAATCCTGTAGAGCAGCCAATTGTAATTCTGTCATGCAGGGCAGCCTGCACACAATCACCATCCTCTTTCAGCAGTTTGCTTGAGAGGTCATCTCTGCCTGGCGCATCGTCTTTTGCACTTTCTAAACAGATGGCACATCAACCAACCACTCACTGGGAGCGGCTACTTCCTTCAATATATGGAGGCACAGTGATAACTGTGGTGCTGCAAGTTTTTTTTATAGAATTAAAGAGTAATTTGTGATTGCGTGCGACTGAGGCAGTTTCCATCTCAACCTCTGAGCGAAGGCGACAGTAATCTTCCCTCATTCTCGGGCGTGGGATGCTGTAGAGGGTGAGAGCGGACCTGTCACTTTCTCTCAGCTCGCCGGAACACCTCCTCCATCAGCCACGGTCTCTGGGGAGGTCTGGACTGCGCACCCAAAGCAGCCCTTGCAGCTGCATGAGTCACGGTCATGAACATGGCCCATTTCCCTTTGGAATCGGGAGGAGAGGGAGACGATGCCAACCCCAGCTGCAAACTATGATGATATTCTCGCTTGCATCTTCTATTAGCTAACAGAGACCAGGCGGTTTTTGGGCTTGAATGGGGTCCTAGGTGGACGCTTATCACCGTAGGGGAAGAATGGCAAGCGCGTCTTGCAGATGACAAGCCGATGGTGAGTGGGCAGATCGGTTGCACAAATACGTACACATGCACATACACGTGCGTATTATCACGCGCACACACACCCACACGCGCACACACACGCTCACACACATGCACATGCGCAACCCCAGACCCACACAAGATACAAACACGGGCAGCGCAAACACAAACAACGAACTCAGACAAATACCCGCACACACACCACGCACGTGTGCACGCATTCACGCTCAAACACGCGCGCAACAACATACGCCAAACACTTCACTCCACCAGCGAGGGATGACAAACTCACCCACCCTCCCACTCCCTCACCCACCGACCCTTTTAGTGACTCATTCAATAGCTCACCCCCTCCCTAACTCATCCAACTCATTCGCTCCCCCCCCGCCTCACTACTTTTATCCATCTCTTCAATCGCTCCCTCAAATGAGGTCTCTTCATACGAGTAATTGTTTCGCAGATAATTGGTTCCATAAATGGAGAGGGTCCTCCCCTCCCCGCAAGCTGGGCAGGCATATGTGGACTTTAATTTAAATAAGCCACACGTGCCAGATTCTATCCAATCACAGACGGCTGTGACCAGGAAGTTACCAACTCATAACTGATGTTTGGGTCTGGCCATATAATGATGTGACCACATTTGTGTCATGTAACCCTCCACCACCCGACAGCCAAGCAAACGATGATGTCACGGGGTGTTATCACGCCGACTGTTGCAGCTCACTTACCGGTAGAGTTGAGGAACAATTCTCACCGCCAGAATTAGCGACGAGAATCCACAAATCCCAACAATCAATTACGCATCGTAACAATGGCCACCAAAACCGACGTGTACAGTTAGGAAGTCACTGTCAAATAAGACACACGTGACAGATTCCGTCCAATCGCAGGCAGCATGAACCGGCACGCTACCGTAACAACAACGCGTTCCACAACGCGCAACGGCAGCGAAGGTTTCCCAGCCGAACGGCAGGCCGTTCCTCACAACTCCGCAAGGACACCGCACGGAGCCAAATTACGACAGACGGCAGTGACGGCGGTGACGACGATTCAAAGATGACGAGGCCAGACGGAGCCTAACGACCGGCGCGGCCTTGACCTTGCCAACGGGTCACGCTAACGAGCTCGCCACTCAGCTGCCTGACCCCCCCCCGCCCCACGACACGAGCGCTACTTAACGCGTCGCTATTTTTCTTCTCGGTTGTTTGATGAACTCTCCGCCGCGCCGGCCAGCTGTCTCCGCTGCCGATGGGGAAGATGAAAGAATGGTGAAGGAGCGGAAACGTTCCATCTCTCCGCGACGTCGCCCGCCAGCACCGAGCGCGATGCTGGCGGGCGACGCCGTGGAGCCCAAGAACTTCACTCACGGACTCCTCCTCCACTTGAGCCGACGACTCGGCCGACCGGACTCATCACGCTCATCAACCACCAGCACCACCACCAGCGCCACCACCATCACCACCACATTGCAGGGCACAACAACTCACCTGCTCACTCACCCGCTCACTCACCACATTGCAGATCACCTCACTTCTCTCTCTGATTATTCCCTCACACTGTTCCACTCTGGAATTCCCCCCTCCCATCATCATCGCCTTCTCTTTTCCTTCCAAGCTTTTGTAACAACAACCTTGCTCAATGCAATTGACGCATTGACTATTATATCATCAACACCTTTGACAGTGCTGTTTGTTTCTGGCCATTTGCCGTTGTGGACATGTCGCCCAATGCCTGGCGACCGTGTTTACTTAAATAAATAAATAAGGAATCTGATGAGAGGGAGGGAGGAGGAGGAAGCTGGGGAGGCCGTGTTGTGAAACGAGAGCGGAGCGACAGCGTGAGACGTGATGACTCAATCACCGCGGCGGTAGCGGTGGGGGTGGTGAATACGGCGGTGGTGGTGACGGTGGTGGTGACGGTGGTGTTGATGGTAATGGTGGTGGTGACGGTGGTGGTGGTGATGGTAATGGTGGTCGTGACGGTGGTGGTGGTGATGGTAATGGTGATGGTTTTGGTGACGGTGGTGGTGATGTTGGAGTTGGTGGTGGCGGTGAAGGTGGTGGTGACGGTGGTGGTGGTGATGGTGGTCGTGACGGTGATGTTGGAGTTGGTGGTGGCGGTGAAGGTGGTGGTGATGGTGGTAGTGATGGTAATGGTGGTCGTGACGGTGGTGATGGTAATGGTTTTGGTGACGGTGGTGGTGATGTTGGAGTTGGTGGTGGCGGTGAAGGTGGTGGTGATGGTGGTGATGGTAATGGTGATGGTAATGGTTTTGGTGACGGTGGTGGTGATGTTGGAGTTGGTGGTGGCGGTGAAGGTGGTGGTGACGGTGGTGGTGGTGATGGTAATGGTTTTGGTGACGGTGGTGGTGATGTTGGAGTTGGTGGTGACGGTGAAGGTGGTGGTGACGGTGGTGGTGGTGATGGTGGTCGTGACGGTGGTGGTGGTGGTGATGGTAATGGTTTTGGTGACGGTGATGTTGGAGTTGGTGGTGGCGGTGAAGGTGGTGGTGATGGTGGTGATGGTAATGGTGATAGTAATGGTTTTGGTGACGGTGGTGGTGATGTTGGAGTTGGTGGTGGCGGTGAAGGTGGTGGTGACGGTGGTGGTGGTGGTGGTGATGGTGGTCGTGACGGTGGTGGTGGTGATGGTAATGGTTTTGGTGATGGTGATGTTGGAGTTGGTGGTGGCGGTGAAGGTGGTGGTGATGGTGGTGGTGATGGTAATGGTGGTCGTGACGGTGGTGATGGTAATGGTTTTGGTGACGGTGGTGGTGATGTTGGAGTTGGTGGTGGCGGTGAAGGTGGTGGTGACGGTGGTGGTGGTGGTGATGGTAATGGTTTTGGTGACGGTGGTGGTGATGTTGGAGTTGGTGGTGGCAGTGAAGGTGGTGGTAACGGTGGTGGTGATGTTGGAGTTGGTGGTGGCGGTGAAGGTGGTGGTGATGGTAATGGTTTTGGTGACGGTGGTGGTGATGTTGGAGTTGGTGGTGGCGGTGAAGGTGGTGGTGGTGATGGTAATGGTGATGGTTTTGGTGACGGTGGTGGTGATGTTGGAGTTGGTGGTGGCGGTGAAGGTGGTGTTGACGGTGGTGGTGATGTTGGAGTTGGTGGTGGCGGTGAAGGTGGTGGTGACGGTGGTGAAGGTGACCATAGCAGGGCTCGCGGGGGTCCTGTCGATCGCACAGCTCGGACGCTCGGACAAGAAAACCAACAAAGCCCGCCGATGGACACGTCAACGTGCGGGAGTGGTGAGGTGCGTGCCGGCAGAGATAACTCAGTGGGTCTCTATGCAAGTCGATGTGTCTCTATGCAAGTCAATAAATCTCTGTGCGGCTGCGTTACCTTCGGCTGGGTTCATGGTGGCATCGTGCAGCAGCGTCGCGGCACAGCCTGCCAGACCTGCCAGGGTCAAGGGTCAAGGGGCAGAGGGCACCAGGTTTAATTGCCAGCGTGCAGCAGAAACGAACACAAACACACACAGAGGCACAGACACGCAGAGACACACGCGGATCGACACACTCACACACGCACACAAAGAGAAACATTCATAGGCAAAATACAGCCACGCAAATACAACAACAAAGATCCCCCGTGTAGCCTTAACAGACTTTTGGGGCAAGTGCTGTTAGCGGAGTAGCACCTATGAAGGCCGGTACGGAACGCGAGGAGATGGGTGGCCAAGCACCACGCCCGGCCGCCTTTGTCTCCCTAGTGGCGATGTTTACTCACCGCACCAGGTACTCATTTGAGGCCGAGTCGACCTAGGGAAGGCCCAGGACCAGTTCAGATAATTGTCACTGGTCTCGACCGTGAGCGGGAATCGAACTCGGTTTGCCAAGTTCATAGCGCGGCGTGCTAACCGCTGCCCACGCACCCGCCCACGCACCCGCCCACGCACCCGCCCACGCACCCGCCCACGCACCCGCCCACGCACCCGCCCACGCACCCGCCCACGCACCCGCCCACGCACCCGCCCACGCACCCGCCCACGCACCCGCCCACGCACCCGCCCACGCACCCGCCCACGCCCACGCACCCGCCCACGCACCCGCCCACGCACCCGCCCACGCACCCGCCCACGCACCCGCCCACGCACCCGCCCACGCACCCGCCCACGCACGTTGTATATCGCACACAGCACACGCCTCGAGAGTGAACACCGCAGCCCAACACAGGCGCCGCCGACACGGGGAGGCGAGGATCGCGCCGCTCAAGGCCGAGTGGGGACCCGGCCCGCAGCGCGGGGCCACAGCGACCCCTCGTGGCCACCCCCACCGCTCTCGTGCCTGCAACTCGTCCGCTGGCTCATTGCGACTGCGCCAGCGCTCCGCAGTGTACCGCAGTTGGCAGTGTTGGTGCACGAGCACAGCCAACGACTCAACGCGATCCGTGTCAGTAGCAACACCGCTGTGTGTGTGGGGACTTATAAGCAAGACAAATCAAAAGGCAACGTTGTGGGCAAGGCCCCTTGCCACAAACGTCGCCTATCACTGTACTGCGTTAAAGGCCACGCACGCGGTGCTGATATTGACACGGAGCGCAGTTGTAGCTTGTCTTGAGTTTTTCCATAGCCATAGAAAGCACCGCACCGTGGGCAGCACCCCGGGGCAGCAATGCGGGGCAGCGGCGAACTTCAACCCAGAGAGTACAACCGGCCACCGATTCTCAACACCGTAACTGCTTCACACCGGTTCACACCGGTTTAGCGGTATACACTGGTTAGTAGTTTAGAGCGGTTACCGGTTTACCAGTAAACCATTGACACTGGTTAGTGGCCCTGGCGGACGGAGATGCAACTGCTTTTTGGCGGGAATGGGCACGGTGGCGCGCGACCTCCCGATGGGGCGGCCTCCTCCTGCTTCTCCTCCTCCTGCTCCTCCCACTCCTGCCCCCCCCTCCTCCCGCTCCCCCTCCCGCTCCTCCTTCCCCTCCTCCCCCCGCTCCTCCTCCCTCTCCTCCCGCTCCTTCCCCCCTCCTCCCGCTCCTCCTTCCCCTCCTCCCCCCGCTCTTCCTCCCCCCGCTCCTCCTCCTGCTCCCTCTCCTCCTCCCGCTCCTCCCCCCTCCTGCTGCTTCTTCTCCCGCTCCCCCTTCCCCTCCTCCTCCTCCCCCTCCTCCTTCCCCTCCTCCCCCTTCCCCTCCTCCCGCTCCTCCCCCTCCTCCCGCTCCTCCCCCTCGTGCTCCTCACCGTTGGCGAGGTGCGAGTTGCGCCCCCCGCTGAGCGAGGCCTTGACGTGCTCGTAGCAGGCGAAGTAGAGGGCGTGGGCCGGGCCCGCTCCCGCCGCCATGGCGTTGACGCCGCGCACGGGGCGCCACGCTCCCTCGGTGCGCACGATGGTGCGCAGCGCGTGGAACACGTTCCGGTAGGCGGCGCGCGGGTCCGGGAACAGGGACTGCATGCGCGTCTGCACGCTCGCAGAGACGACACGGGGAGAAGTGAGGCATGGGGAGACCCGGGTTCCTGGAATCATAGCGCAGTGCTCAAACTGCTACGCGCACACTCGCACACAAAGATCCTCCCCGTGTAGCCTGTTCATCGGTCTCACTATGGACAAATCTACAGCGGCTTCTTTTCTGGAATTCCAGGATTTATGATCACCTGAATCCAAGCAACCAATCCTCAGCATGCATCCTTACAAAAAACGGACAGGCAGATTTGAACCGTGAGTCTGTGAACTGAGCGGCGAGCATGCCACAGCTGTGCCACGTCGCTGTGGATGGACGACGTCTGGACTTGACCCTGGGGTGGATTCGAACCCAGACGCTCATGACTAGGAGGTGCCGGCTTAACGGTGGGGAGCAGGAAGGCCAGAGCAGGGGAAAATAAGCGAGGAGGAAGAGGTGGTGGGTGTGAAGCTTCCTTCCTCCACTCATCTCTCAGGGGTCCCGGGTGCTGGGGAAACTTTCGAAGTTCCCATTGCACGCCCCCCCAGTCACAGGCACGACAGGTCGAGCTACCATTGCCCATAAACAGGCCTCACCGATTTATCCTGAAATGTAGTCATGGTTTTGACAAAGTGGTGTTTGTCGGATCCACATTGGAGCGGATGTATAGTGGAGTGGATCTACAACGGAACGGGTCTATAGTGGAGTGGATCTACAGCAGAACGGGTCTGTAGTGGTGTGGATCTACAGTGGAACGGGTCTATAGTGGTGTGGATCTACAGTGGAACGGGTCTATAGTGGAGTGGATCTACAGCTGAACGGGTCTATAGTGGAGTGGATCTACAACGGAACGGGTCTATAGTGGAGTGGATCTACAGTGGAACGGGTCTATAGTGGAGTGGATCTACAGCCGAACGGGTCTATAGTGGAGTGGATCTACAGCGGAACGGGTCTATAGTGGAGTGGATCTACAGCGGAACGGGTCTATAGTGGAGTGGATCTGCAACGGAACGGGTCTATAGTGGAGTGGATCTACAGCGGAACGGGTCTATAGTGGAGTGGATCTACAACGGAGTGGATCTACAACGGAACGGGTCTATAGTGGAGTGGATCTACAACGAAACGGGTCTATAGTGGAGGGGATCTCTGGACTTTAGTGGCCCACACCGAGCAGGTTCTCAGGGGAGCGATCATCATCCATGACGTGGCGCATTCCCCACACGCACCCCGCGTGACTCGGCACTGCAAAGTGTACACAACGAGAAGCGGCCTCCCCACTCTGCTCCACACAGCCACTTACACGGGGGGGCGAGGGGGGTACAGGCGAGTTTAACGAGTAGCTGGCTCGTCAGTGGAACCAGCAGCTTGCTCATCAGTGGAACCAGCAGCTGGCTCGTCAGTGGAACCTGCAGCTGGCTCGTCAGTGGAACCAGCAGCTTGCTCGTCAGTGGAACCAGCAGCTGGCTCGTCAGTGGAACCTGCAGCTGGCTCGTCAGTGGAACCAGCAGCTGTCTCGTCAGTGGAACCAGCAGCTAGCTCGTCAGTGGAACGAGCAGCTGGCTCGTCATTGGAACCAGCAGCTGGCTCGTCAGTGGAACGAGCAGCTGGCTCGTCAGTGGAACCATCAGCTGGCTCGTCAGTGGAACCAGCAGCTGACTCGTCAGTGGAACCAGCAGCTGACTCGTCGGTGGAACCAGCAGCTGACTCGTCGGTGGAACCAGCAGCTGACTCGTCGGTGGAACCAGCAGCTGACTCGTCGGTGGAACCAGCAGCTAACTCGTCGGTGGAACCAGCAGCTGCCTCGTCAGTGGAACCAGCAGCTAACTCGTCAGTATAAACGGCAGGTAGAAATGTCCCTCATGTTGAGACACTGTCTGGTTTTGGTCACTGTATAAACACAAACCGTGCATGTATCACAGTGTTTGTTCTGAGTGTGACGTCATCACGCTGGCCACACCACCCCCGTTAGGTGTGCAGTTCCAGCTTACATATGTGCTAGTCGCTAACAGCACTTGCCCCAACATTCTGTAAAGGCTATACGTGTGATCTTTGTATATGCATGTATGTGTGTGGTTGGTTCAGAAAATTGTGTTGGCCATGAGCAAGAATCGTACGTGGATCGCCGGGTTCGTGACGCGGCGTGCTAACCGCTGCACCACTGCTCAGGGTGTCACAATGCACCTCCGATTAGCATGGTTGGCTACGTACGGTGAGAAAGAAGTTCAACATATGTGGGTGCGATGGCGGAACGAGGATGAAGGCATCGCCTCCACAGATAAAAGTGGTCATGGAGCCCTTGGCCAACAATCCGTGGTTTCCTGCGGCTCATACGAGCATTGAGGCATTCGTGTTGGAAATGCCACATTCCCATGACGGGGGAAAGTTTATCCATAAAACAGCCGCTGTTGACTTCCCACTCATTCATTTTACCGACAAACTGAAGACAGAGCACAAGCGGGCGAATGAGATCATCCACATGACGAGGAGTGCGGCTGGGGGTGCAGGACGCTTCAATGCCACAAGGGACAGCGATAGGCGCTGGGCGAGAATAATGTACATGTGTGTTGAACTTCTTTCGCACCGTACATTGCCAATCGTACTATTCGGAGGTGCGGGGGAAGGACAGAAAGATGCCTCTAGATGAGAATGGATACCGCGGAGATGGAGCGATAACAAAATCAGCTCGTGCGTAGGGCAACTGCTGCGTGGATTGCGTGCGTGTGCGTTCGTGGGAATTTAATTTCACATCGGTGTCGTGTCGTAAGGGTGGCCCCAACGGTTCAGCGTTGCGCGCGCATCGAAGGTTATTGCGCAACACGTCACGCACGCAGCCAGCAGAACGCACCGTCATCATCATCAGCAGCCATGGTCAATCCACTGGTGGATAAAGGCTTCCCCCACCTCTCACGATCCTGCGATGTCACAATCCACCCAGTTCTTGCACACCAACTGATTTCATCGCTCCATCTCCACCACGGTGGTTGATCCGTATTTTAAACGTGACCCGTTCCTCGGCTGCTACTCCGTCTTGAGTCTCGCCCCTTGTGGCCGTGATGCATCCCGCTGCCCGAGTCTGACACGCGTCTCCCAGCGGGGAGGACGATCGTTACGTCTCTGCCACGAGTGTGTCCCTCTAGTCCACGTGGTTCCTTCTTGCCTCTCAGCGCAAACCCACGATGGGCTCTGCCCCCTACCCCGACTGCGAGCCGCCGCACCGAGCGGACGGGGGAGCGCGAGGCCGTGGCACGGTAACGCGTCGGCGCGCCGGAGGGCCCTCTCACCAAATCGACGCTCGCAGCAAAAACAACCGGGAGTGCGGCGCCACTCTGCGCGAGGCAGCGGCCGTGACCGCGCTTGTGTTGGCAGTGATTTTAACCGCGTCACGTGGGATGACGGAGCGAGCGTGGAGCGCTCTGGCAGCGCGTGCGGTGAAACGGCGCCGCCGTAGCGTCTCGCTAACGAGCGACGCCAATCCTCGACACTCTCGCTCGCCACTAACCACACTCGCCCCCAATCACACTCACCACTAATCACACTCAAGAGCCATGATGAGGGCGGCAGGACGGAGTAGTGGACACGCCCGTGCCGCCTCATGGCAAGCAGTGCTAGGATTCGATTCCCAACTCGGGTGTTCTCCCCTTTTTCTGCTCGGGTAGTCTCCGGGTTCTCCGGTCGCCTCCCATAGCTAAAAGACACCATACAATTTAACCGGTATTGGCCAAAGATCCCCAGTGCTGAGAAACTACTGGCAGCAGGGCCCCTGCGTGCGGCCCCTCCGCGCGCTTGCGAGAGACGTAATTTTCACGGACGACGCCGGCGCCGCGATGTAGCGACCCAACACGGCGAATGGGCCCGTCGTGTGAACGGGGCCCCTCCGTCGCCGTTCTACGTCAACCGCCTCGCTGCCCGGCTCCTCGCCCGTCCCGCGCCCCACGCCGCACACGGCACTCCGGAGCCTCCGCACGACTTCACGCGCGTGGAGCCGCGTCGTCACTCGGGTCGAGGACGCGTCCCGGCAAGCGGGGCCCACAGCGGAGCGGCGGCCAGGGAATGGGAACGCAGCCGTGCGGTGCGATGACGGCCACCGCGGAGAGGAAGCCGCTGGGGCGATCGTTAGGTCGCAGGGTCGCGAGGAATGACGGATTGGGGAGGGAGGAGGCCTTCATCCAGAGTTCAAGAGAAGCCCACGTATCGCGACTCTATGCGTTGTGCAAAGATGCCGGAAGATGGGCAAACACCAGGGTGCTTCTGCGCAAAGCTTATCCTCCAATCTTCGGGCAGGCTGACCGGGCAGGACGCCCACACTCGCCGTGCGGCGGTGGAACAAAATCAGTTAAGCGTGGAAAGATGCCTCTAGAGGAGAGGCGGGCCACCGCGGAGACGCAACGGGGAAATCATGCTCATGGCGTGTAGAGCAAGAGCTCGGAGCATTGTTGACCATGAATCACGGCGTTGATGATAATGATGAAAGTAAGGGTTGACCCAACAAAGCTCAATGGTTAATCGTGTAAAGGGCGGTACCGATCTTCACTACTGACCCTCAGCCAGTGGTGGAAAATTCACATTCCCAGTACGGAGGCTAGCCCATCCGTACGACTAAAAACTACCGACTTCAAACAAAGCGGTGGTGGGTTTAGAGCCGTCATTTGGCAGAGCGAGCACCGCCATCCACGGCGGTCGCACCAATGCAGTCCATTGCTGTTAACCGTGTGACTCCGAGGTTCGCTTCCTGGGCACGGCTGTCATCAGTGGCGAGCGATATCGGAGCCGGTCCTGGCTGTGCTGAACGTATTCACGCGACTGCTGGGTGGACAAGGCAGTGGTGGTGGGGGGGGGGGGGGAGTCCAGTGCGCTGCTGACCACCACACCAAAGGGGCAGTTCAAAAGTAAATAATAATTATTTTTATTATTTTTGCAAGGAAGACTTGAGACTGATTTTCAAGAGGCTTCTGGCTCCATCGGAATGCTGCCGTGGTGTACAACAACAAAATGACCAGTGCCTGCGCACGAGGAGCCAATC